ATTGATGACGGTTGCAGTGCCCCAGGATCACGTGATCCCCTTTTGTGACCTTCTGATAAAGCAAAGACAATGGGGAAGCCAGATTCACTTAACAACCACGTTACTGACTTAACAACTGCAGTGATTCACTTAACATTTGTGGCAAGCAAAGTCGTAAAATGAGGCAAAACTCACTTAACAAATGTCTCACTTAGCAACATAAATTCTGGGCTCAATTGTGGTCGTAAATCGAGGATTGCCTGTAGTTCATGCGAGGACACTACTAGAGGAAAACTGGCTTCCACTTTTGTTTTTATAAAGCACAGATTTGAAAAAGGCACATGTTTTAAAATTACTCAAGGGATGTTTAGCACAAGTTTTATTTTTAACAGTAGATTACACAAAACAAGGAAGAAGGGAACCACAAAGAGTAATTAATCTTGGGAAGCTTCAGTCCCTGCTTCTGCATTTCCCAGGTGATGCAATAGATCAAGTAGCTGAGATTGGGGAACAAATGAAACATTTAAAACAAAATGTAGGCACTCTGTACACGGAAACAGGTAATTATAAAATACTACTTTTCAGGAGTTCCCATTCCCCCACTCCTGCCCCATTTCCTTTTGCTCCATTTCCCATAATAAGATTGCATTTAAAAGTGTTTCATTTATTACTCAACTTTTACATGTAGAGTGATTTTTTTTCTTCTTTTTTATGAAAGAAGCTTTCCATGAAACCTAGTTTCAGGTTGAATCTACTGCATTAATATTGCATAAGCACTTCACAGTCTTTGCTGCTTACTAATATCATATAATTATATACTACTGCCTTCTATGATGCAGTCTTTCTTTCATAATCCTGAGTCTTCCAGGGAATCTTTTGCAATACAGATTGAAACTATGATTTAATATTAGACTGCTATAAAAAATAATAAGGTATTGCATTAATAATTGGTTTGAACTATTTCCAGATTAAGTGCTTAGGAATGTTTGTTACAGGGCGTTTTCTTGTGGAAATTTTCCCCAACTCACTTGAAACCAACTGATTTCTAAGAAATGGGAAAGGATTTTACATTACACTAGTTCAGTTTGGCTTGTGAGGTGTAGACATTTGATCAAAACATTAATTGTGGGACTTGACTCGATTTTCAGGAAACAATGAGCAAATTTAAGATGGTAAAACGTTTGAAGAAAAAAATGATAGCAATATTTTCATAAAAGTTAATATTATAATTTCACCTGAGGGAGTCCTGCCATTGGTGGTGATTTACTTTCTCTTCTGGAGCTATTCCTCACCATGCCCCTGTGTTCTCAAACACATGGAACAGATTTTGAAGACATACTTTCAAGAAAAAGGAGGGAAAAAATGTACCTTTTTGTATAATTTCACTTCTTGGCATTTGCCAAAAAGAATTTCATCTACACATTAACAGTCTACCGATTTGCAGATAGTGCATTTCAAATAACCTTTCAAAATCTCCATGTTCTGCCATCAAACAGTGCAGAGTTCTGCAAATTATGGAGAAAACCCATTCAACATGATAATTTGATCAAAGCTGGGCAAAAATAAGTGTTATTGAATATATAAGAGTTGCATTTAGTGAGATGGGCGGCTATATAAATGTGATTAATAAACGCACAATATGTGTTATTATGGGTAATATGTTATTTAACATAATAAGATAGTCGTATTACAGTTCCAAAGATATAAAAACCTTAGTATGCTTCTACCAAATTTGCAAAAATATCCAACTAAAAAAGGATACTCTCAATCTAATAACTAATATTATTGGATTCCTTGGAAAAAAAAGAAATGTTCCGTTTCTCTCCTTCCAAACTGGGCTTAATTCTTTCTATTAGAAAATGTTTTCATAGAGCACATCGGTATCTCAGAAACGTTTATGTTGATTCTAAACTTCTTTATTATTAAATAGATTGTTTTGATTTTTTTTTTGATTAAGCATACAGGAGACAGACAGATAGTCTCTCCATTATTTAAGAATAATTATTTTTTGTCTCTTGACATTGGGCCAAGGTTACAGATACAGGTTTCATGAGGACAAATGGAACACTAGGAAAATAATCTTGATTAAAGATAAGCACTTTTTTTTTGTCCTGTTAATGGGTGGAAAAAGGAGAAAAAGCAGCAGACACTTTTCTTCACATACTTTTGTGGAACAGATTGAATATGGTTTCTGAAGTACTAATACCATGTGAAAGTATGTCAGATTCCTATAGCAACACATATTTTATGTCAGAGACTTTCACAGACCTCTAGAGCAGGGGTCCCCAACCCTTGGTCCACAGCCCAGTGCCAGGCAGTTAAGCGCACAAAACTGCATTTGTGCAAGTGGTACATACATGCAAAACCATCACTCTCCCCCCCCCATCGCCACCACTGCTGGTGCCGCAGGACCACAGACCACAAAATGTTGGAGACCACTGTTCTAGATATTCCTAATGTGAGATGGTTATTGGATTATTTATGTATTAGATTTATGCACCACTCATCTCATCTAGAGATGATCATGAGATGGAAGTAATTTTGTTATAGTGAGCTACCCCAGTCAGTGGCCTGGTTGTTGCATTCTGGACCAATTGGAGGTTCTGAGTCATTTTCAAAACTAACCGCATCAAGCGTGTTGCAGTAGTGATCAAAAACAGCTTCCTGATCCAGGCTCTTCTTGCTTCTAGCCCAGTGGTGGCGAACCTATGGCATGCATGCCATAGGTGGCACTCAAGCCCTCTCTGTGGGCACGCGTGCCATTGCCCAGTGCACAGATGATGCTGCGGGGCACAAGCGGAGGGCATGTCTATCATGGCGCTGCAGAGCCACCTAGGCGATCTGTGGCGGGCCATGGAGGCAGTGGGTGGCCTGGAAGGTAGGGTCAGCTGGGGCAGGGGGTGGAGCGGGCGGGACGGAGAGGTGGGGGTGGTGGTTTTTGGGCACTTGGTCTCTAAAAGGTTCACCATCACTGTTCTAGCCTATGTGTATGATAGTCCTATATTGCCTCTGATTGATTGATTATTGATTCTGTGCCATCAAGTTAGTGTCAGCTCTAGCACCCACATAGATAGATCTTCTCCAGGATTGTCTTTCCTAATTCTGATCTTTCACATCTTTCTGGATGGAAGCAATGGTGCACTCATTATTACTGTAATTGCCAAGAAAGTGTAATCATCTTGCTGCTGGTTGTCCTCTTCTTCTCTTTCCTTCCAGCTTTTCTAGCATCATGGATTTATCCAAAGAGCTATGTCTGCACAGAACATATCCAAAATAGGACCATTTGTGCCTCAAGTGAGAATCCTGAATTGACTTGTTTGTTGATTCATTTGTTGTTATCTCAGTCGTCTATGGTATTCTAAGGAGTCTTCTCCAACACCAAAGTATTAAAGCTTAATACTCTTTCTGTTCTGCTTCTTCAAAGTCTTTTTGGCAGAATCTCACAGGGAAAAACATTGCCTGCACAATTCTGATCTTTGCAAGTATAGAGGCATCCCTGAATCTTTTCCCAGGCCTGTTTTATGACGTGATAGTCTGGGCTATATTTCGTAACTGCTGATTCCTTTATACTTGATAGTTGACCCTAAAATAAAAGCAAAAGCTGTCCATCCTGTCTTCATTGCCAATTAAGATGTATATGGCCGCCCATATTAAGCAACTCTGGTGACTTACAATAATCACAACACTAATAAATAACCATAAAAACAATGATAAGTCTGGTTGCTGTACCTGTAGTCATTAATTTGGCCTTTTTTTACATTTAAACTTAATCTCATTTCCCCCTCCCTCTTAAATTGGGCTCCTTATACAACCCTTAACCGATATTAAATAAGTATATCTCCCCCTTTATTCAGGGGAGATGTAAATGTATTAAAATGTATTTAAACAATTGACTATGTCAGTGGTGGCGAACCTATGGCACGGGTGCCAGAGGCAGCACTCAGAGCCCTCTCTGTAGGCACGCACGCCATCGCCCCAGTCCTAGGCCTTCATATGGGTTTTATAAAACCTTTTTGCTTTAGGCCTCCACCGCCATGTGCAAAAAAAAAAAAAGGTTCAATCAATCAATTTCAACTTCTCGCGGGGGGGAAAAAAGATCCGCAAAGTTGGAATTGATTGATTGAACTTTTTAGTCCCACCCAGTCTGCTGTTACCACCGCAGCCATGCCCACCCAATTGGCCACACCCACCCAATTGGCCACACCCATCCGGCACCCGACGATGCATAAGTAGGTTTTGGGTTGCAGTTTGGGCACTCGGTCTCTAAAAGGTTCGCCATCACTAAACTATGTTATGCATTACTTTGGAGGGAAGGGACTGCTGGGACTTAAAACAGAGATACCATAGGTAAAATAGGAATTAGCAGTGAGGAGAGGAATTTTCATGCCAATATAATGCTTTGCCAACTCCAGGATGAATGGAGAGCACCCAGCAGAGGGGAAGGGCCCACAGGAAAAAGGGCAAATATTTCTCTCAAATGCTGCAAATATAAGGGGACTTTTGCATAGTCATATTAATGCAAACAAATAAATAAATAAACAAATGCATAATTCATCACAAATTATCAACAATCAATCAGGCCAAATATAATGAAGAAAAATGATCTTTTATAGTCAAGAGTCACATTAGGAAAGATAAGAAAAATCAGCATAAATAGAGAAACTGATGCTAATTCAACCCATTTAATTTGTCAAGAGTTACCTTACTTGATTAAAGTCCATAACCAGTCCATAAAGTCCATATAGGTTCAGTACAGAAGCTTTTCAACTTCCCCTCAGAATGAACAATATTTTGGAGTTAAGCTTCAACAACTCTTGTGTTCAGGCCTCGGCATTAACACAGGCATCATAACAGAGTCTTTGTATCCAAGCCCCTTTTTTCTCTTTCCTGGTGGATAATGATGTGAATTGAACTGTAACACCTATAAGACTTTTTTTTCTTGGCAGTGCAGGGATGGATGCTTCAAAGTTCTCTTCTTCCTTGTCTTCTGTTCTGAAGTTTATTTTCTTTTGCTTGTTTAGAAAAGATGAGCAGAAGGAGGATCGATATGTTTGTAGCTGCCATCTTGTATCTTCTCTCCCAATTTGCCCCTTGTGAGGGGACTGCAGCTTCAGAGAATGAAGAATATGCAGAGATTATTGGTAAGTGCTTTTTTTATTTATTCTCACAAAGCTACAGTACAGAGAAATAAAATGTCTCGGTTTAACAGGGCATATTTAATTCCTAATTGTTGTATGTGTTTTCAAGATAAATGGGCAATAATATTTCCAGCCCCAATTGAATTCCACTGGTTATCATTCAGGAGCCTGTTCTGTCTTAATTTGCAATTAGTCTGCAATTTCGTCCATTTATAGGTATGGTTTTGAATGTACTTTTCAGAAAATACCCTTTTTAGAAGCAAACCTAATTTCAAAGCATATTTTATCTAAATTAAAAGTGTAAAATTCATTACGGCAATTTATTTAACGTCTGAAATTCAAAGACTATGTCAATACAGAGGAAATGTTTTTAAAAAGGCAATGCAGTTAAAAACAAAAGAGTTCTCATTTTTGGCATTAAAATATAATCCTGCTCACTATTTCAATATTTGGAGTTGCCTAGACAGTTCCTATTACTGTCAAATTTTGTTTGACCAAAAAAAGAAAGAACATTACATTAGCTGTGAAAAGAAAATAGCTGTCATGTGTATATACACCAGGGGTCCAAAGAGTATCTGGAAAAGGTATTACTCGTTACTTTACTATTTACTATTTATTAGTTACAAAGCAAATAGGACAAAAAATAGAGGCCTACTACTCAGTTACTCTGACAATAAGTCTATATAAGCCCCAATACCTTGTACGGAATACAAGCTTTAAAAAATTCCTAGGAATACACAGATTTGAATAGTAAGGAAGATCCTGATGTATTAATTACGTCCAGTAACCTTTCTCTTGAAAGACACATTTCCTGAATGGAATGAGTCATAGCCATTGAAATACCCCTTTCTTGTAAAGGGTGAAAGTCCATAACTTATTAGTATCACTGCTTGGAGATTCAGCTTGTCTAGCAGGAAAAGCTTTTAGCAGGCGTGGGTGGTGGGTGGGTGGCAAGTTGTCAACTCCAGCTTACGATAGGGACAAAAAAGAGACTCATTTTCTCTCAATGCGACAAGCTGTTTTGCCTTGATAATGCTCATCAACAAGAATAATTTGAATAGAGCCTTGTGATGAACTGTATAAATAGAATATATAGACATGAAGCATTTCACTTGGGAGACAACAGAACAATCATCCATAGGAAAGAGTACTGAATATTTTTCCCTGTCAAGTCAGCTTATCTTAAAAAGGTGATTGTTTAGGTAAAATTGTAGAATTAGAGAGTTGTCATATTCTGCAAAGACATTTGATTTGGGTGATGGAAAAAATACACTTTGCAAAACGTATGTGCACAAGGCTCATTTTAGTAGGAGTAAGAAATAAGGAGAGTCACTTTGATGCAGTGGGCAAGGCATTGGCCTAGAAACCAGGAGACTGTGAGTTCTAGTCCTGTCTTAGACATAAAACCTGGCTGGGTGACCTTGGACTATTCACTCTCTCTCAGCCCAACCCTCAACACAGGGTTGCAGTTGTTGGAGAAATAGAAGGAAGGAGTAGTAGGTATGTTCGCCATCTTGAATTATGTGTAAAATAATACAAGTGGGATATAAACAAACACACATACTATAAGTTTCAGTCTTCCTTATGTCAAAGCCAGTTAGGTAATGTTGGATAATCCCCATCTCTCAGTCCAAGGAAAAAAGCAATAACAAACCACTTTCAAAATAAGATGACAACGATTCTGACTGATTTGAAGACGTAGACATAGTAGAAGAACGCAACTTTCAAGGGTATTAAATTCCTTTAATTCATATTTCAATTTAAAAAACATACTGAACCTCTTATGTGAAACATCATTTTTTTAAATATATTCTTCTCCACATTCTATTTATCTTTCTTTAAATATTTCTGTATATTTTTTAAAAAAACTCAGCCCAGTGCAAAAATGGGATAAGCACAAGATGGAAAAAATGAGGAGCAAAAACTGAGGTTAAGTTAGGTTAGGTTTTGCTATGCTATGCTATACAATGGTATCTGTATTGCTGTTTTGCAATAAGCTTAATTTGGCTTAGTTTAAGTTTTACCAGAACTTTATCTAGTTTTAATGGACAATTAGTAAAATGATCCAAATTACTTTTCTTGTTGAATTACACATCTCTTGGAAAAGGTTAAGAACACAGAAGTATTAAAAATAAATAAATAAATAACCTTTAAATATAATACAGTTTACATTTAGTGTAAATTAAATCACATTTAATGTTTTGCCTTGCTAGTTCTCAGTTCTTTGTTCTTGTCATACCTATATATCGGTGTCTGATCCTTGCCATGCCACTTAAAACCAAAGCACAAGTTCAATCTTATAAAAACAAATGAAATCTGGTTTTGTGCATTTGGTGGGAAACTGGAACCAAAACATTTTTCAGTTCTTCAGAAAATATTGTATGAAATTTTTCTTCCCCGCTTTTCCCAGAATTGTGGGAAATGATGTGATGAGTTTATTCCATTATATCCAGTTTATGGCTGTTATTCTAGTTCAGTGGTGGCGAACCTATGACACGGGTACCACAGAGGGCACTCGGAGCCCTCTGTGGGCACACGCACCGTCTCCCCAGCTCCTCCTCCCACGGCCCCCTCCTCACCAGCAGCCCTCCCGGAGGAGAGTCACCCCTGGGTGCAGCCCACGCGAAGCAGCGCAGCCAAGGACATGGTAGCCGGGCAGCAGGGACAAGACTCTTCACTTGCGCCCCATCGTGCGCAGATGATGCTGTGGGGCATGGGCAGAGAGCGTGGCTGCCATGGCGCTGGGCTGCCTGAGTGATCTGTGGCGGGCCGTGGAGGTGGTGGGTGGCCCAGTGGGCAGGGCGGAGCAGGGATGCGGGGGCGGTTTTGGGGCACTCAGTCTCTAAAAGGTTCGCCATCACTGTTCTAGTTCCTACTGAAATCAGAGGACAGGTTGGGCATCCATTTCAATAGCAGGAACATTCAACAAGCGTAGGCTGTATTCTGGATTTCTTAGCAACTGTATCATTCTGAGTGTGGCCTCCACAATTGCTCCTCCATTAGAATTCTTGGTGTGCGCCTATTCCATTCTGGAAAATCATTCTGGAAGAATGGGAACAAGAGAAGAGACACATGTGTAAAAAAATTCTCATCTCCCTTTCACAAATTGAATCCTTTCTTGGATTTCCACCTATTCATGAATAACAGGGACCTTTCTCTTAATGGGCACCAGGTTAATCTCCAATGCACTGGAGGCATTAACAAACCCATATAAATATAAAAATATGATTTTTATGCTATCGTGCTATCAGTAACGTACTTGTTTTTGTTTTTTGTGTTTACTTTTTGTTTATTTTTGCAACCCTTTTCCTATTAGTCATAGGTTGGCTCTAAGAGAAAAGAAAATAGGAATTGAAACAAGTTAGTGTGACATGTAATCACAGGTTTACTTTAAACTCCTACTGAAGAGCAAGACATGAATGCCATTTGTACTTGGCTGAAAGTACCGTCTATCTTGGCAACTCCATCTTTCAAGATTGGGGGTTTTTTAAAAAGAAATTTGCAGGCAATGACGAGGTTGACCTACCAATTTTAGCTCTAGTTAGCCAGTGTTTTTTGTGGATAGTCTGTTCCCAGGCTGCTGTTTCTTTCAATTGTCTGCTTTTGTCCATCTCCCCCACATTTGTTTTCTCTGCCTTAGTTTCTTCTTGCCATATTCACTGCAAACATTTTGTATTGCAATCCTGTGGTTGCTGATGAGGCATCCCAAGCAGCGCAGGATATGTTGTGTGTTCCTCTCCAAGGACCACAAGGGCAGTTTGACCTTATTACTACCTCCCAGCTGCTGTGGAAATTTCCTTAGAAGTTTGTGTGTATACATATTGTCTCCTTGTTGAAACTAATGTAATTGAGCTCATGACGGGGAACTGTCACGTATAGAGGAAAAAGTTCAAATATACACCCTCACTTCTATTCTGTTTGAATGAGCCCAGCAAAGTGTGAGATGCAGTGGTGTGTTTCCTGTGGAATTTCTGCAACTCAGCAAATATCTTTACTAGAGAGATGAAGTCCAATTTCGGTATATTTTTATTACCAAGGAAATACTGACCTCTTGAATCTGACCATGTGTTTAGAAGTCTTTGATTCCAAAAAGGAAATCTTTAATGTTTGAAATAGAAACAAAGACAGCTGCACTTCACGCAGTGTATAAATAATGACCAACACAATGGAAAAACTAGGATGTTGGGGTTTGGGGTGTTTGGTTTTTTTTTGTCATTCCCAGAGCTGCTAAGAGAAGACCTATTCTTTATGCCTTAGGGTGCCAACAAACTAGTCTAAATATAGTTTTGGATGAAAGATTGGGACAGCTTCCATCAAAAGGGTAAAATTAATCTCCAGTGTTTTGACATATTTGTTCCATTATATTACCACAGAGTTACGCTTCTGAATTCTTTGACAAAAAAATACAACACCAGGAAATTAAAGAAAAAATCTAATTTGTTTGCACAGATTTTACTATCTGAAGATACCTTAGTGAGGCAGAGGGAAGCTGCTTTTTCTCTTTTCTTCTTTCTTTCCCTGAACATAAACCAGAAGGAAAATAAGATGCCAAGATATGCCAAGAATCAAACAAAAGAAAAAATTCTCGGATGAAAAAACTGTTAATTTTCTTCCTTCGGTGTAAACTATTATGCTCGTAAAAGTGAATGGAAACTTCCGAGTACTGTGTGCAATTGCACCATTTATTGGGAATGTGTTAACTATTAAAAACACCAAATGTTGTAGGAAGTGCAATATATTTCTAAGAGGCCACAAAAGCTCTTGAGAATAAAAGAACTTGTTTTTGATTTGAGTTCATTCAGCTCAGGTTGGGTTGTCTGCAAAACTGCAAATAGCCTTTGGATGTATAGGAAACAAATTTTTCCACTAGAGAACAGTATCGTTGGATTCCATTCTGAGAGTTATAAAAATGAGGCATGTTTTGCAGTAGTAATGATGTAAAATCATTGACTTTGCCAGACTGATAGGGCTAGTTCCCACAACTTAGACATATAGGAACCCATCCAATGTGTCCTGCCCATTGCCATGTCAGTCAACTATAAAATAATAAGCGTCATAAGGGACAAACCCAAGTTAACTGGGGTAAACCACAAAAAGATGATTCAACAATCTGACTCAATATGCAAAATAGACGCAACATCCGCCCACCCCACATGCACACATAGACATTTTCACAGGAATATAGTAAATCCAGATTTAATTGTGCTTTCAGGTTTTTAATGTCATTTAATAATTGCTGAGATTTTTTTAAAAAAATAAGAATCTCCTTTTTCCCAATTATACATGATAGATATCACTAAGCTCCCATTGTTCATGGCTTCCTTCTTCCTGCCCTTCTTCTCTTTGGGGCACTGAAATGGGTCCCATTCTTTCTATTAAACAATTTATACTCTTCTTTCCTGATCAGAAAAGAGGGAGGCATTGCAGCCACAGATGAAGCACGAGCTTTAGGCCTTCAAAATCTAGCCTGGCCCTTTCTTATATATATTATTTTATTTTCTGGTTCCATCCTCATGGCCAGACAGGAATGATCTAAATTGACAGCAACTGCAAGGAAGAAAATAATTAGAATGAACTCCTGGAGACAGTCCTAGGATGGGATCAGGGCAAGGGAATAATTCAAGAGGAACTTGTTTGGCAAAAGCAACAATATTTGATTTGCATACAGGATCAGATTAGTCTTGCCCTGAAATATGCAGAGCCCTGATTAAGGCTCCTATCTTATTGGGAGGGTGTGCAGTCTGAATTCAGCGTTGTCCAGGCGTAATAATGCAAGTAATTCAAAGGACTTTGCTATAAAAAAAAATAGCAACAGCAATAAGACTTAGATTGTATACCCTCCATAGTGCTTTACAGCTCTCTCTGAGTGGTTTACAATACAGTGTCAGCCTATGGCCCCCAACAATCTGCTCCTCATGTTACCGACCTCAGAAGGATGGAAATTTTAGTCAACCTTGAGCCCTGTCAGGACCAAACTCCAGGCTGTGGGCAGAGTTAGCCTGCAATACTGCATTCCAATCACTGTGCCATCAGGGCTTCTCCTATAACAGTGGTGGCGAACCTATGGCACGCGTGCCAGAGAAGGCACTCAGAGCCCTCTCTGTGGGCACGCGTGCCATGCCCCAGAGATGGCAACCGTCCCTCTTCAACCAGCCGCCTGCTAACTCGCTGAGTTCCCACGTGGCTGGATGCATCCCAGCACAGCTGGTTTCCCTCCCACCCGTCCCGTCCCTCCTGGCCTCGCATGCTCTCCTTTTCTCAGGCACGACCCACTGCATCGCCTCCTCAGCTGTCGGCCAGCTATCCAGCTCAGAGGCGGCTTCTTTGAACTGCTGGCGGCGGGCTGTGGAGCCCCAGAGTGCACCAGTTGAGAGGCCGGCAGGCTGTGGCTGCTGATGGACACCGTCAGCCCCCATGCACTCGCTGGCCTCTGTGTGCGGGGGCCGATGGTGTCAGGCAGCAGCCGCCTCGGCCCTTGCCTTGCCCCATGGCAATGGCACCCCCGCCCTGCCGTGCCTCACCCCACAGGACAAGCCTCCTGCCTACCGCCCCATCTGCCAGAAACCCCCTGGATCTCCCCCAACCCTGTCCACCCCCCACAGGTGTCCCTCCCACGAGCAACATTGAGGTGACCACGCCCACTTTGGCCAACCCACCCAATCTGCCATGACCACCACAGCCACACCCACCCAGTGGGCCACGCCCACCTGGCACCCGGTGATAAGTGGGTTTTGGGTTGCAGTTTGGGCACTCGGTCTCTAAAATGTTCGCCATCATTGTCCTATAAGGCAACACCAAATTAAAAACCATTGAGGTGCCTCACACAACCAATGAACAGCATGCCTTGTTTCTAAAATCCTGGTCTCATCCCCTGTGGTTGACAGAGTCAGGACCATCTGGATCTCAAATGACATGACACAGGTTTTCCTGAATTTTACTCAATCACATTGTTTCACGAAGTTTACCCAGAGTATGCCAACACACTAATAGGACAGAAAGAAACGATGGCTTTATGAGTGTTCTTTGGGGATTGGGAAGCTTAGCCGATGAAATTTCAGCTTGGATCCTGCTCCGGGGAAATCCCTGATATCAAAGTTTGGCAGAGTTCCTAGCTTATTCCACTGTCTGACTTCTGGGCTTTCCCCATTTCACCAGATGGCAAAAGCTACCTTACCTCACTGCTCTTTCCCTGGACTCCTCAGCTGCTAGCTGCCAATTTTATCTTTCTCCCATGGGCCACATGGAGCTCATACGCCCACATTCCCCCATGGTGAGTTGATTCATTGACTCCAGGAGAGGGGAAAGAGAAGACCGTTGCAGAATTTTGAGCACTGGGTGCAAAATGCCACTTGGGAACAGTTAACTTCTGAAAACTGGGGAAGATTTCTTGCTCTTAAACTTCACAGGAAAAGAACCAAAAAACTAAAATATTTCTGTCCACAGATGTGTACACATGAATATCATTTCCAGATTTTGCATTTGCACTAAAAGGCTGCTAAGCAGTTTGAAAACGATACCCTTTAAAAGAATATGATCTCTAAACACTGATTACATCTTATGTCATCTTTTTTTTTAAAGATCTGTATCATACGTATTAAGATGTGGTAATTTATCCTTTGTAATCTTTAAAGGAAATGAATAAATGAACAGTGTGTCTCACACTCCAGTTTTGTAACTTCCAGGGAATTAATGGCTCTTTGATGTGCAATTTCTAGGCAGATGCTGCCCCCTAGTGATTCATTGTGCTTCTTTAAGGCTCAATAATACATATTCAAATGGTTGAATGAAGCTGTACGTCTATATAAGGATGTATATTTAAAATACTGTATTTTAGTGTCATTTAAGAGTTTAATATTGAACTTCATAATTTACTACATTTACTTAATTTCGTTGTGAGTTACACAGTGACAATAAAGATATCCTATTCCATAATAATATAATATGAACTTATATAGATAATGTATGCTATATGTAATATAAGCATAAAGTCCTTTTTCACGCTAACTTGCAAGTGAAAAAGTATTGTACCAGTGAACCTACTTTTCAGTAGTTTGTTCATGGTCAGTGATATTCTTGTTTCTTTTTATCATTACTGTACATCCTACGATAATAAGCATAGTAAGTATGCTTTCAGCAGAGAGGAAAATAAATATTTTTTTTAAAAAAAAATAATAAACAAGGTTGAAAGGAGTACATGATCCTTGAATTGACAAAAGAAAGCTTATAGTATACACAATATTTATATAAAGAAAGCCATAGTAAAAAGAATAAAATAGTTGACCTACCATCCAGGCAAAGAGGCTTTAGGCTTGAAAAGCTTAGATCTCTCTGCATTTTTAAGCAAACGAAACATTTCTCATTCCACTGGTGCATTTGATAAGGTATCTTTATTTTTCCAGTGTTCTTGAAAAACTATATTGGAACTAGCAACCAATATATTTATTTATGGGATAAGCATAGTGAAGGACTTTGCAAACTCTAGCATATGCAGCCTCCCTCTACAGCTAATATAATTGGGGTTACAAATTGGGGTGAGAAGGGCTTGTACATGCAAAACTGATTGGCTGATAGTACTGTTCTCTGCTTTATCTTGCAAGTAAGCTGGCAACTGGCTGGTCCAGGCAAAGCCCAGAGTAAAATTTTACTGGGTTCTTGCTTTAGATGGGTAATCTCGTCGCAATTTTTTTAAAGCTGGAGTATTATCAGAATGGGTTTCTAGTTTGTCTGGACAAAGGGACAGAAGGTCAGGATTTTCATCTGCTTCTGTCAAGAGCAAATTCTGTTCTAAAGTAAATGTGGAGGAAGGAATAAATAAAATTCAGATTGCAGACAAAATGCCAGACTAAGCAAGTGCTTTCTTTCCCCTAAATAAACTAAAATCTAGATTTTGGATTCAAGAGTTTTACATCCAGTAGAAAAGTTTTACTTTATGAAGCCTCAAGTTTCTATATGAATTACAGTTATAAGTTAATTATTTATGGTTGTTTTATTCCCAAATCACTAATTTGATTTTAGGGCATAATGGTACTCCGTACATAAAGAAGGAAAACCAGTTTGATGCAGTGGTTAGGGTATCAAGTTATAAACTAGGAGGCGTCCAATCGTACCGTAGAAATGAAACCAAATGGGTCACTTTGGGTCAATCACTCTCTTTTAGATGCAAGAAGGAGGCAAGGATAAAGAAAATTTTACTAAACAAAAATAGAAAGAGGAAGGAGCATTATGTTGTTCAGGTATTATTTATAAAAATAATAAAGGGATTTTAAAAAAAATCTACAGTGTCTAGTCCAGACAGTCATCAGAAGTCAAAACTGACTTGAAGATGTACACACACAAACACAAACTGAAATGTTGTGTTGGACCAAGCAGGAATATTTTACAGATATTTCATTCTACCTCTTGGAAACAGAACTGAATATATATGATACATCATGTTTAGATTCCTTCAAATACCTTTGGCTATTATACTGTTCAATTTATATCAGGGTACACAGTATATGAAATACTGTTATCTGCCTTCTTTCAGGTCTCAGTTCATCCCCACTCATACTAGGTATGTCGATCTGTGCCTTGAAAGCTGATTCTGGTCCCTGCAAAGCCCTGCACACCCGCTATCATTTCAACATTCATACCCGCCACTGTGAAAGTTTTAACTTTGGTGGATGTCAAGGCAATGAAAACAACTTTCTAACCTTAGAAGAATGTCAACAAACATGTGTCATAAAAGGTCAGTATATACCTTGCTACAATTCTTTGTCTTTTTTTCAAAAGAAACACTTCTTTTTAAATCTCACACAAAACTTATCACATTGTTATCCTATGTACTATTTGCAGAATATACAAATATATACATGATCAGGAGGAAAGTATTTATGATCTAGTGTAGAATTTTAACAAAGTGAGAAAGGTTTTACGTGTGTGTGTGTGTGTGTGCGTGTGTGTGCGTGTGCGTGTTGACTATACAGTCCCAGTCACAATCATTACTTTTTGACTGTTCCCTCTTCCTTATACCGACCTCTGGATGTTGAAGAATAAATCATATAATATATATAATTATCCATCCATCAGACTAGACTAGACTAGACTAGACTAGACTAGACTGGAATAGACTAGAATAGAATAGAATAGAATAGAATAGAATAGAATAGAATAGAATAGAATAGAATAGAATAGAATAGAATAATAACTTTATTGTCACTTTGAATGTACACTAACTGGCATACATTAAAATGAAATGTCATTGCATTCAGTTCTCAAAGGGTCACCACCTCCGTTATACACTGCATAAATATGACAAAAATAAATAAATAAATACAGAATTATGCCTATACCCACATATATTATATGACACAGAGAAACAACAGTCTAGTTCGGATTATGCATGGCGAGAAAAATGAAGTTTACAAGTTTACCGGACAGATGGCATAGGGAACAAAGCTATTACAGAATCAGGTAGTCCTGCTAGAAATACATACTTCGAAACCTCCTCCCAGAAGGTAGCAACAAAAACAGACCGTAAAGTGGGTGTGTGGGGGTCTCTAACAATGCTTTGAGCTCTAAGCATATAGTGCTTATAAGCAGCATCCTGACTACCAGGGAGCGAGCTTCCTATGATCTTCTTGGCTGTCCTTACCATTCTCTATATGGACTTTCTAGCTGAGGCACTGCTGCCACCAAACCAGACAATGATGCAGTTTGTTTAAAATGGTCTCAATCGTGCCTCTGTAAAAAGTGGCCAGGATAGAAGGAGAAAGATGTGCTCTCCTCATCCGATGCAGGAAATACAGATGCTGATTTGCACGCTTCACTAAGGATGACGTGTGGAGAGACCAATTCGGATTGTTAGTTATCTGCACCCCCAGATACTTAATACTGTTGACCACCTCTATAGCTGCATCCTTGATGCTGAGTGTAGTATGACTATGCCGGCTATTTCTAAAATCTACAATGATCTCCTTTGTTTTATCAACATTTAGAACCAGGTTACTTTTATTGCACCAGTCCACCAGAGCCTTCACCTCTTCCCTATAAGCATCTTCATTGTCATCCCAGATAATATCTATCTATCTATCTATCTATCTATCTATCTATCTATCTATCTATCTATCTATCTATCTATCTATCTATCTATCTATCTATTATTTATTCTTCAACATCCATAGGTCTGTATAAGGAAGAGGGGGCAGTCAGAAAGTAATGGTTGTGACTGGGACCTTATAGTCAACACCTTGCCACATTTTTACATGCATTGCACAATCACAGAAGCCAGATTGACTTTTTTGACCCCAGCAAACATCTTCATTGATATCCCCAAGAAAACATAAAACATTGACCGCACGTTGGAATAAAAATGATTTCAGACATTTCCAAAAGGTGAAAAATGAAGGAAATTCAAGTGTTTAGGAGGTGTTGTCATAGAAAAAAAAAGTATTTCCCTCCAACAGCAGATTCAAGAATAGTTAGCACTATATTATTGTCAGATTGTATTTTTGAAATTAAGTTTAAAAAAACAGAAATACAAAGCAGGCAAGGATAGTGTCATTTAAAAAAAAACTTGTTATGATTAGGATAGATATAATTTAACCTGTTCTGTATATGCAGCAATGGGGGCAGGGAATCTTGCAATGAGGAGCTGGATATTGCTTATTGCTTGTATTGGGGGCTGTATATCTGTTCTAGGGTAGTGTTAGGAAACATAAGACTCTAGGAATTGCACCAAATTAGATCATTGATCTAACTCGCCCTATTCTTGTAGTTTCCCAAAGTATCAGTTAGTGATTAAAGCCATCCCTGGAGACATCACAAATTAAATTTGGTGCCATGTGCATGTGAAACACCCTTGTACACCTGAACTCTGGTCCTTTTTGGAATTAAAAATAGATCAAAGATAAATATAAAACTTTGGAAAGGTATTTTGAATAGTAAGCTCCACGTCTCATTTTCACAGGCAAAATGAACATTAAGTCCTACCGCACATTACCAACAGATGTAAATTTGATGCTGTAGGCCAGGCATGTTAAACTTGCGACGTCACGTGACGTATCGCGACTTTTTCCCCAATGCCAGCAATGGGGTGGGCGCGGTTTCAGCATGACACATCCGGCCCACAGGCCGGCAGGTTGACATGCCTGCAGTAGGTAATTTCCATGTTTTAAACTTCAATCAGTACTAACACTATACACATAAAGCAGATGTTATCCATGTTTAGTAATTCAGGTATACTTCAGATATATTGTAGGTTCGGTTCCATAATAAAGCAAATATTGCAATAAAGCAAATCACACAAATGTTTTGGTTTCCCAGTCTATATAAATGTGATGTTTACATTATACTGTGGTCTATTAAGTGTGCAAAAGAAAGCCAATATACATGTTTTAATTAAAAAAATACTTCATTGCTAAAAAATGCTAAACATCTGAGCCTTCAGCGAGTCGCAATCTTTTTGCTGGTGAAGGGTCTTGTAAACAAAAGTGCACTAACTGTGTAATAAAGTGCAGTAAAGTTATGCCCATACTAAAAGTCCAAGTGGGAAATATATCTTATAACCAAGAAATTAATTCAGCGGGGGTTTAGTTATTCCAGAGTTTCCAGCAAAGAAAAGTACTATCAAATACCTGGCTGATTCAGAAAATCCCAAGGAGAAACTTTTAATAAATTTTTCTGCCAGAAAAAACAATCTTACTTATTCAGTCAAGGCAAGTGAAAGCACAGCAATGAGCAAGTATAATAAACATCATGAATTTATATGCTGATCTAGAGAAGCTAAACCAGTCAGGGCCCAAATGCATGTTTAAGGGTGTATAAATGCAGCATAAGATGAAGTGTTTAATTCAAACCTAACAAAAGCCAGATGAGGAAATAAGATCCCGGTCTCCAAGGGAAAAAGGTTTGAGTCATGCCCTTTAACCTTAATCTCCAAGAAAATTCAAAATCCTCTTAAGATGAGAAGGAAGGGGGGAAGTTATGTTATAGAACCCTTCATTTAAAGAATTTTGACTGGTGGGGTCCAGAAAAAGGGCCTTCTCTTTCATTGCCCCCATCCTCTGGAATATTCTCCCTTCAGAAGTGAGGTGGGCTGTCAGTCTCCTGGCATTTTGAAGGAGTTTGAAGACCTGGCTCGGCCAACTTGAATGGCACTCACTGAGCAGCAAGCCACCCTGGGGATGATTGGCACCTTGACGTCTTTCCCCCACTACACACACACCTTTTAACGTCTAACTCAGGGGTCCCCAACCTTGGTGACTTTAAGACGTGGACTTCAATTCCTAGAATTCCTCAGCCAGCTTTGCTGGCTGAGGAATTCTTGGAGTTGAAGTCCACAAGTCTTAAAATCGCCACGGTCGGGGACCCCTGGTCTAACTTATTTTATTCTTGTTTTTATTTGGCTCTTCTTATTGATGCACTGTATTTTTATGTGGCTTTTATGCTTTTAACTCTATACCACCCAGAGTCCCCCTGTGAGATGGGCAGTACCTAAATTTGACAGGTAATAATTAAATACCCATGGAAAACAAAACTTCATGGAGTCCCTCTGAATTTGGAACTGAAAAAAGATGCCATAGTAAAATTTTCTGATGCATCTGTAAAATGAATAACTGTACACTTATAAGGTTTGAAAAAGAATCATGATTATAAGGTGTTCTGCAACATGTATAATTTGTAATCTCTTTCGAGTTTGGGGTATTGCCTCTTGCTTGGCTAGTTACTGAAATTAGTTTAGATGCTTTGTGTACATTTCTTATATTGGACTTCATCATTTTCAGCGAAGTTTGTTGCTACTATCTTTCAATTACCTCAGCCTGCCCAACCAGTTTGGACTGAGTTCACATTTTACAAGTGCTATCTATTAAAGAGTTTTATTTTATAGAACCCAGGAACTCTGTGGCTGTGGCTGTCTTGTAGAATAGCATTTCCCCCCCAATCACTGAGATTCAGATGGCTCTGAAAAATTATAACCATATGAGAATTTTTACCCATTTCTAGATCCAGTTTAAAATTACTTTTTCAATTTCAGATTTACCAGGGAAGAGAAAGAAATTAAGAATTAAGAAAGGTAACTTATTGTTTTATTGTGTTTTGTCATCTCTCAGTATTAAGAAATAATTAACCAACAGAAATATGGCTGGGTTAAGTTACTATACGGATTTTACTCAAATGTCTCAAGTTCTTGTTAACTTATAAGATCGCTGTACTTATCACAGCAAACAATAACTATAATGATTTTTTTATATTTCTTTTCATCTGTAAGAAGGAGAGGGGCTCAAGAATGAGATCACTTTTTTATGGTGTTTGATTTTGGAGGGCTTCATATTAACAGTACAATGCAATACAATAATTTTAACTTACAATTTACAATGTATAATGTAATATAATTGTATCGCAATTAAGGTTTCATTGTAAAATGAATAATGAATGAGAAATGAAAATTGTCAAGGTAAATTATTAGTGTTCATATCATATCAACTCAATTATCCTTAGTTAATTAGGTTTTAAATGGCTATCTTCTTTGCCTTGCATATGAATATCTTGATTGTAAAGGTTCCATTATCTTGAATCCCATTGAAACCAATCAAAGTACTAGGAAAGCAGTGACATGAGAATTAGAATTAGTATGTTGCAAGACAGATATTCTTTTTTTTTAAAAAAAATTATTCAGAAGGATATTTTTACCCATAATAATCCACAGTTTTGGAAGAATTGCATTAAAGTTGATTTCATTTCAGAGTTCAGTTTCTGGATCCAAAAACTGTCAGAGGACAGTGCTATCTATTCTTTCTTAGGAGATATAGGAATCAAGCAGAAAGACCTCTGAATGCCACTAACAATAAGTTTGGTTCATCCTTAAATAAACTAATTTCTTCCCATATCACCAAAATTTAAGTTTGGCCCCTTAGGTTTAAAGTTTGAGTTTAAAATGAAATGATGGAGAGCATTTCACTGTTATTAGACTAACATAGATATCGTATGTAAACTGATGCATTAAAAGTGGGATAACCAAGTTCAGATCTACCCCCAGATATATATTTTGTAACTTTGGGCCAATTATTCCCTCAGCCCGACCTGATTCACAGCACTGCTGTTAGTATAAAAAGTGGGACAAGGGAGTGGTATGTGTATATGCCATCTGGAGCTCCTGAAAGAAAGGCAGGATATAAATTTTGTAAATAAATAACAGAACGAGAAGTCTGATATCTGATTGACAAATTTAGCCGAGTTATCCTTATGCTCTCTTTTGGAGCATGTTTTTGAAACCATTGTCCATTTTCCAGCTGCATTAGAAGTTGTAGCAGCTGTTCTTACTTTCAGTAGTTTGTGGTGAGATCATTTTTGTAGCCTACATTTGAAGACTGTGTAAATATAGCTGAGTTTAAGCCTGACAACCGACTATAAGGAAAAAAGATACAAATCTCATGGTTTTGTGAGAGACATTTTCTATCGTAGCTCACCTTTTTGAAAAAGTGGGGCCATCTGGACTCTGAAATTAAATATTAAATATTATGGCAGCATGAAAGGTTTACCATTCCCTTGAGGGCTATTGCCTAACTGTGGCTCAAAAAATACCAGAATAAACCAGGCTTGTGAAACTCCTCACATTCTGTCTCTGTTATGCCTATCCTGGAAACTGAACCAGCCATATTATTTGCAAACCAAAGCAGAGTATATAGCAAGTCCTTAGCCAGCTGCTGTGGATTAATACACCACAATTACGTTATGTGTCACATTCTGAATATGTTACAATCTTCCACCTATAAAACTAGAGTACTGAAGGATTTCCTACATCTTTCCTCCTGAAGTCAATGGGACTGAGCAGCATTTAACTTTAGTTAGAACTGAATGATTTGATCATGAAGTTAAGAGGGTTCAGTAACATGATTTTCCTCCCTGCAACAATCCTAATTCACAGAAAAGCCTGCCTTCTGCCTTTTGGAGAATGACCCTGGCATCTGCCGAGGATTAATCCCCAGGTATTTCTACAACAAAGAGTCACAGCAGTGTGAAAAATTCCAATATGGTGGTTGCCTGGGAAACCAAAACAACTTTAAAACTTTGCAAGAATGCCAAAATACCTGCCATGACAGGGGTAAGTGGAGCTGTTTCATGGGTACTTTACCTGCATCTCTCAGTGTCTTGTTAGTGTAATGTAAGAATGGAGAGACTCTGGCCTTCCAGATCTTTTTATAAAGCAACTATCACCAGCTTTTATTGGCTGAATTACCAATAGCTGATGGGACTTGGAATTTATAGAATTTGAAGCCTGTGGGAATGGTAATGTGTGTGCTAAGCTGCAACAGAAATTCATTCACATGTTCAGTTTGAAGGTTGCTTCTATGGGTGGTTGCTATCATGTGCCTTTATATTTGAGGACAAAAAGCAAAGACAATAAGGAATCAGAAAGTCTCCGCTGAAAGAACTGCCTAAATTATGCATTAGCAAGCTAGTATGGTGCAGAACAGAAGGTCGGAATAAACTCCTGTTTCAGTTTAATGTAAACAAATGTAAATGAAGTGAAAACTGCTTCTTACCTTTAAATAAGTTCAAATGAAAAGAGGATTTCAGGAAGCTACAACCTTTGGGTATTAAATAAATGTTAATCACCATTTTCTCTGTCCCGATATACCATTTTGATCAGACTTTTTTTTTTAATTTCAGTCCCCTCAACCAATTCACTACAAATAGATGGTGACCGCATGGTTTTTAGTACTATTAGTAATAATAGTGCTCCACTTATTAAGCAAGGTATGTATTAATAATTTATTCCTGAGTAAGAATTAGGCTCACTCTACATTTCTAATCTGAATTTTTCCCTGTCATGTTTCTACTTTGCCTCTAGTGATTCTGAAGGGCATTCAGTTTATTAACTAAGGGGATTTGTGCAAAGCTTGGTGACCGATTGCTCCATTTTTTATTTCCTCTGTATTCCATCATCTGTATATTTGCTTTTTAAAAATCAGCTGTTTGTGCCTCCATGGAAAAGCTGCTTCTCGGTGCATTCTATTATTCTCCTAAAATATAGTAAAGTTTCTTTTTATCACTCTTATATATAATGCCTAAATAGAAAGGAACCATATGAAGCTTCCTTAACCAGGATCACATAGTGCATATATTATATTATTTATTCTGACTGGTAACAACCAAAAACACACTCAGCCCTGCTAACTAATACTGGGTATGGTAGAAATTGCTGGGAATTTCTGTTTTGACTGCTAAACTATAGTTTACCAAGGAGATCTCAAATTTCTAACATGCCATTGCAACATGGGAATAGTCACACAATGCATGCTAGCACCTAGCATGTTATCTGACAAATTATTCCTTCTGAATGTGCTGGATTTATATTTTTCTGCTTTCTGCCTGAAGGAGTCAGTGGCACCACTGTTCACATCAGGAATATGCACTTTGTCTTTAGACTAATGGCTCTCCCTCCAAACATCACTGAGGAAAAATAGATGAGTCCAGGGAAGCCAAAACAAAAAATAGACTATAAAATCCTCATTAATAAATTAAATCAGAGTTTCATTCATTTCAGTTCATTTTTAATTGTTACCTAACTATCCTGCATACAGTATCTCCTAGAGTCTCGAGACTTGGGATATATAAATATCGGGAAAGAAATAATAAATACTAACATTTCTGAGGTAATTGTTAGTGGCAGAAATAAATCCCTTTTGTTGTTTTTGCTCTTCTTTATTTTTTTTTATCTGAGAGCTCTCTTTGAAAGGTTTATTGCCATTGCTTTTCCATGAGAGTACGCCATATTGGAGATTGAGACTTCTCATTTTTATGATCCACAGTTATACGTCAGGGAGAAAGGAACAGCTGGAAAAAGACTGATCACGGTTGCTATATTTTTCTTCTGGCCATCTGCACTTGCATTCAGATGTGCTTCTGGGAACTGGCTGGTAGTTTGTGGATTATGCATGCTGGCTAGAAAACTGGAGTGCATGTAAGAGAAGTCCAGGGAGATCTTCTTAATGAACTTTGGGACTGCCTATGATGGGAAAGTGCTGTGTGGTTTTTCTATATCCTGGCTTCATTCATGACAGAACATAGAACTTTGCTTGGGCTATAATCACCTAATCCAGCAATGGGATGGAGGAAAGGCTCTCTTGTTTCACCCAAAATCCAATCAAGATGAAGGATGGTACAGACATGTTCTGAGTAGATAAATAAATAAAGCATTAAAACTGTTTCTAGAATAACTAACAATATTTTTTTGGTGTTTGCCCTGATTGAGCAGCTAAACACATCTCATGTTTGTATGTCTTTAGATTGATTCTTCTTCCTTGTGTAGGCAAGGATCTGCTGTTGAATTTGGACAATCCACTCAAAACTTAAACCTATCCAGTCAGGGGTACATATCAGTGGGAAAACATGGTAGCTTAGAAGTTCTTAGTTCTAGTTCTTAGAACTTAGGAATGCTATCTTCTAAGAATATCTTGGCACTCCTATAGAGCAGGGCTTTTCAACCTTGTCACCCATTGTACCACTTTTAGGATATGGCAACATCCGAGTACCACCAGTCGCCTAGCAAGGTGTCAAAAACTTGATGACCCCCCCCCCAAAAAAGGAAAAAAGTGATAAAAGTACAAGTAGTCCTCAACTTACAACAGTTCGCTTAGTGACAGTTCAAAGTTACAATGGCACTGAAAAAAGTGCCCCCCAAGCCACAGCCGAGCAAGACACCTGCCTGCCCACCCGGCAGCGCTTTTCCTTCTATCCGAGGTTTCCATTGTTGTGAGCATTTCTGTTGAGGATTAGCAGCGGGGGTGTGGTGGGGGGGTGTTTGGTTTTTATTCCCCCAATCTGCTGGGTGGTTGCAGCAAGTTTCGGTCACTTCACATGACCCTGGAACACTGTGACCGTCATAAATATGAATCAGTTGCCAAGCATCTGAATGTAAATCACAAGACCCTGGAAATGCTGCAACATTCCAGCTGATCGTCGCTTCTTCTGCGCTCAGCAGAAGCGCCAGGATCAGCGCCGAGCTCCAGCTGGAGCCTGGCACTGATCCTGGCGCTTCCACTGAGCCCTGACAGTCCTGAAGAAGTGCTGATCCTGGCGCTTCCGCTGAGCCCTGACAGCTCTGCAGCTCCAGTCATCTCTTGCTCAGGCTTATGCGGTGCTGACACCGTTTCAGCCCATTCCCCTCCCCCACTACCACTTTTCTAGGATGGTCGCGTACCACCTGCCAGGTGCCACTGTACCACAGGTGGTACCCGTACCATTGGTTGAAAAGCCCTGCTATAGAGCCACAGTGAAGAACAGTCTGACAGAATTACAAAATCCTGATGAGATCACATTACAGATAGTCCTCGACTCATGACTGTAATGGAACTTGTCCATTACGGTCAAATGTCATGATGGTGATTAAGTGAAGTACCCATGTGATCATCCCTGCTCTCTTCCCAATGAGGTTGTTTAATGAACATGCAGTTCATGAAGCAAAGCATGGGGTGGCTTGGGCTCTGGAGGAGACCGTGGCCCAGGGCTCCCAAAGCCTTCCCCACCTTTAAGGCATCCCATGGTCCACTTCCTGCTCCTCAGGAGGCCCACAGGCCTTGGGCCTGCTTTCCATCCTACTGGACCTAATACCTTTTCCCTTACCTCATGTCACCCATTACACACTTACCTTTCGAAGAACTCTATAGTTCAAGTTAGGGAAGCAAAGCAAGCTGTTTTGTTGCTGGGCTGGGCTGCATGATCCAGGAAATGGCCACCATTTTCCAAGCAGCAATAATTCTGAAATTGCACCATACAACCCAGCAAAAAAACAGTTACTGTGTTTTCTAAACCCAAACTCCAGAACTCTTTGAAAGGCAAGTGTGCAGTGGGTGATGGGTAAGGAGGAGAATGGGGGGGCCTGATGGGGAGAATGGGGGAGGGCGAGATAGGCTGGGGGGGTGCTGTAGCATCCCTGTGATTGGTCATAAGGGCAAACAACTATGGGGTATTTTCTGCTGGGGGGGGAGTGTCTGCTGTAACTTCAAACATTTGCTAAATGACCAGCCGAGAAATCCTTCTACATTACTCAGATACACACAAATAAACACACATTCATACACATGCACCAAAGTATCTTCCTCTAAATGCCTAACTAGAGATAAAGCCAACTTGCAGGGCTTAATGGAAACAATTTAATTTGCCCTTTTTTCTTGCACAGCAATCTTCTTGGTAAGTGGCAAAAGTAATCAGATAATCATATAGAAAAGAACTAGATAAAATTTCACTCTAATGAAAGAGATTTGAAGATGCCATTAATTTATAAACTGTTTTCAAATGGCTTTAGCAAGGCATGAAATGTTGCTATTATCTCTGAGTCTAGATAGTCTGCTGAGCTACTATTCTTTCTGTGTCAACTGACTCCTGTAGTATCATTCCTTGACAAAACAGCCAGCCACCAAGTATTCCTTGCAGTAGTTAAATAATATCAGCAATTTATTACTGCTCTGTTAATTGCTAATTGCATATTTTAATGGAAAATGGTATTTCATAGTTAGCTATCATAATCCTTACAGCAGGGGTATGAAATACACACACACACACACACACACACACACACACACACAAAGAGAAAGACTACAGAAACACAGACATTTGAAATTTGGAAAAAGTGTCCTGGACAGGAGAGAGAGTTTTATGGGGAGGGAGTCAAAAAGGCAAGATGGTGGCCACGGCAATATGACTGAAGCTCTACCCCTTCTTATATGTGTTGATGTCACATGCATATGCAAAGAGGCAGGGTTTCAGTCATGTTGCCACGACTGTCATTGTGCTGTTTTTGAATGGTTAAAAGGCAGTAGACAATGTTCTAATATTTCTCTTTATAGATATTCATAGATAGGAAAATTTTATGGACAGAATTTCATCCACCTACTTAGCTACTTTCTTCAACTTCATGCTGTTTCGCTTTGTGGGTATGTGTGTGAGTGCATTCATATGTGTGCATGTTTCCATTTGGCCAACTTCACAGAAGAGGCAAAAGAATAAATTCAAAATGCAAGATTAAGGGGATTAAGAAACACCTCGAGATGTTCTAGGAAATGGCTCTGCTAACATAATATAGAACATAGAATAACAGTTGGGAGGGACCTTGGAGGTCTTCTAGCCCAACCCTCTTTTCGAGCAGGAGACCCTATAACATTCCAGACAAGTGGTGGTCCAGTCTCTTCTTAAAAGCACCCACAACCTCTGGAGGCAAGCCATTCCACTGATTAATTGTTCTCACTGTTAGGAAATTTCTCCTTAGTTTTAAGTTGCTTCTTTCCTTGTTTAGTTTCCATCTATTGTTTCTTGTCTTCCTAAAGGAAGGGGCCTTGATGTGCAAAGTTGTATCATCTGCCCAGTGTAGAATTAAGCACCTAGTTCAGTGGTTCTCAACCTTTTTAATGCTGCGACCCCCAACTGGTCGTAAGTCGAGGACTAAACCGGTCGTAAGTCGAGGACTAAACCGGTCATAAGTTGAGGACTACCCAACCGGTCATAAGTCGAGGACTTTCCCTGCCCGAGAGCGCCGCGCATGCGTGGTTCTGCCCCCTGCGCCGGCCAAGGCGCACCTGGCAAGCGGCAGAGACGGAGCAGGCCGACCACCAGCTGGCCCAGCCCAAGGGAGGTAAGGCACCTGCCGGAAAAGGGGAAAAAATGGCAGACAAAAAAATGGCGGACAGCCTTGCTTGGCGACCCCCGTGAAATGGTCGATCGACCCCAAATGGGGTCGCGACCCATAGGTTGAGAACCGCTGACTAGTTCACTTTCTCTTGACACCAAAATGCCTTCAGTCAACCCCTGGGATAAACTGGAAGTGAGTTTAAATTAAAAACCCTGCATGTTCTGTGCAAAGAGCACAAAAGGCACTGAAAAAAAGCTTGTTCAATAGTTTCATAAAAAAGGACCCCCTCAGAGTCACAACGTGAATCTGTTGCTTTCTATTCAATGAAAAGACGTGTTCTGTATGTTTAGTTTGAGTCTAAACTGACTGAGGGAGAGATTTCCTTCCTGGCATTTTATAAGCAAATTGCTATTTCGGCTGTTTCCCCTGTGTTTTTTTTTTCCTGTAACCTAACAGCACATACGTATAATTTAAGATTTTACTTAGTTTTGTAAAATAATTTAAGCTTCAGGTTTTTATTGCCTTTTTTTTTTTACAAGCTATGAACCTGGACAGGTTTGGATGCCATAATACTATCTCTATCATTATTTCTCATCTAGAAAATCAAGGCCCTTAAAGACTCCAATGACCAGTCCTTGCTTTGCTTAAGTTTCATAAAACCCTCTTGATTCTTCACACAAATCACTGATATCTTTGCACCAAATAGACTTATTGCTGTTTCTCTTTCATGGTTGTTTCAGAAGACAACATTCTTTACTACTTAGTCTCACGAAGACTGTATCTCTTTTATTGTTGTTTTGTGCCTGTCTATTTGTTTTAATGCTTGAGGACACCTCTGAAGGTATCTGGGTTCTAATGCTAGAAAGGACTATGAATCTAGTTGTACAATACCCCATAAACTGCATTTTGGTTTCATTTCCAGGCACAAGAAGTACAATTATCTTTCAGCAGGGATACTATAGGATTTGCGCAACATGTTGTAGACAATGTCAGACACCTGGGATTCTTTGGCTGCTCCAGAAACCTGACATTTGTTGGGATTGTTGCTGAATACTGCTAACGTAACATATAATTGGACACTATGTGTGTGTGTGTTTGATAATACCCTAATATAATATCAGTTTGCAGCAATATAATAAGAAATTAAAATGACTACCAGCTTCACTGGCCAGTGCTGCTTCTAGTTCTTGTGCTTAGTCCTAGTTCTTGGTGCTTGGTCCTAAGGCTATGGCAGGGGTCTTCAAACTTGGTCCTTTTATGACTTGTGGACTTCAACTCCCAGAATTCCTCAGCCAGCGTGCCTGGCTGAGAAATTCTGGGAGTTGAAGTCCACAAGTCATAAAAGGGTCAGGTTTGAAGACCCCTGGGCTACGGAGTCAGAACTGTAGTGTCTGACTTAGCCAGAGAAGGCCCACTAGCAGAAATCACTTTATCTAGCTCTCCCCAAACTATCAAGTCAGAGCTGCAGTGTACCTTCTATAAGCTTCTCATACCATCATATGTCTGGGTTATCTCTTTTCTTCTTTTCTCTCTTAAAAACATGTGCCCTTTTTCAATCTTCCTTCCTTGTCTTCAAACAGACAGCATTCTTCTAAAGTGGACAAGTTTCAGAAGTGCTGAATATCATGGTGCCTTGTAGTTTCTTGAAACATCAAGTTTTTAGAGAACAATTTTAGCTGCTGGAATGCATTTTTCACAAATATGTGAAAGCAGCAGCTTATGAAAGGAGTGACCTTGTAAATAATGGAATGTGATGCTTAAATACAATTTCACAGTGGTTTTAATGAGATACGGTATTGGGGAAAAAACAACCATTCATGTTGAGCTTGGTTAAATCTAGAAACTATGTACCTAATTGGAACAGTGGCTAGAACATCACACATTTTAAACAAATTTAATCAAGGGTTGATTTAACTGACTTATCTTGGATGTCAGATTTATTAGTGCAGCATGGCATTGTCACAAACTGGCAATCTAGGCACGCTTGGCTGAGAATTCCCATCATCCACAACCTTCATATCCATTGGCCTCATTGGGTGGGAAAGGGGGTGTTGATCCATCACATTTGGAGAGCATGAGATTGGTATAATCTGGGATAAAATACCTGTGATTTTATCATGAAAATTCAGTTCTTTTTCATGATTTATTTTACTGTTCGCTTGTATTCGTGCCACTATGGATTTCACTTCTATTTTTATTTTTATTTTTAAAAATAGTCTATTTATATAGTATGACAATTATTATATTAAGTGTGTGTATTTCACAGTTTTATATTACATTAAATTTTGATACTTTCCTTTGACTTAAAAACCTTCCCAACAATACACCTGCGCGCACGCATACCACACAGACACACATTTTAAATTATGAGAACTTCAGTGCAATATAGGAGAAATGGGTATTTCTCATAGAACCAAAAATACAAGAATCCAGGATTCTTCTATTTCTCACCATGTTTTCTTACTTATTATGTCTAGACTTATTTCTGCTCCCTTCTCTTTGTGTGATGCCCATGGACAGAGGACTTTGCAAAGCAAATGAGAAACGGTTCTTCTATAATCAGACTACTGGAAAATGCCGTCCATTCAGCTACACTGGATGTGGTGGGAATGAAAATAATTTTACCTCTAGGAAGGCCTGTGTGCAGATGTGTAAGAAAGGTACAGTTGCAAGCCTTGCAACACTTGGGTTGAAGTATTCTTCGTTAAAGTGTTACTGCAAAATCCAATCTGTGTCGGTCACCGTGACCAGAGGTTTAAACTCTTCCGAGCTTTTGGACTCATGCTTGAGTCCATGTTAAGGGAATTTCTCTCTATTGGAATATGTATTGGAAGAGTAGAGAGAGGTTCTCTGAAGATGGGCTCTAGCACCAGTCTGAAGGCTCAGAAAACTAAATCGCTGATCCTGGTGACTGACCCAGATTGGATTTTGCCACATTATCCTGGGACATGTATATTTGCCTTCATTTGTAAAGTATTACTACTGAGTACACAAGTCAAAGAAGTCTGTCCTGTTGTTTACCTTTAACAAGCACCTAGAGGATGTACTGTACGTATCTTCTGGAAGCCCTAAACACCAGCCATTAGCACAGCTGAATAGAAAAGATTCAGACTGTCTCCTGTTAGGAGTTTGAGTGCAATACACAAGCTTTTAAGGTTTGCGATAGCAACCAATCAGTATGCTTTGCCAATCTAATGGGGCTGGAAACCTCATCAGAGGTTGCTGAGTTTTCACCTTCTCTCCCTATCAGTGATGCTGGCTGCAGCTCTTAGGATTGTACTTCAACACACTCACAAGCCCCCCCCTTCCCTGTTCTGTTTTGAAGCATCTCTTTTGAATGCTACGTTGTGAGGCAGTCAAGAATACCGGATTAAGTACCTAACTAGGACCATAGAAGCTTGATATTCTGTTGATGTCATTAACTCTTACTCCAATCACCTACTTCACACTAACTTGTAAGACTATGGAATATATGTAGAATTTGCAAAATGGGGGAGTAGGGGGAACATGTACAATGCACTGATCTCCATACAGAAAGAGTGGAATACACTTGTCACAAATAAAGAGAGCCAGTTTGATGTGATAAAGATGCTGGCCTGGGAACCAGGAGACAGTGAGTTATAGACCCACCTTAGGCATGAAAGCCAGCTGGGTGACTTTGGGCCAGTCCCTCGCTCTCTCAGCCCAATCCCTCTCACAGGGTTATTGTGGGGAAAATAGAAGGAGGAAGAGTATTAGGTACATTCACCACCCTGAGTTATTTATAAAGATAATAAAGGCAGGATAAAAAAATATTTTAAGAATCATCTGAAGGAACTCCTGGTTAGAAATAGATATCTATTTCTAACCAGGAGTTCCTTCAGATGATTCTTAAAATATTTTTTTATCCTGCCTTTATTATCTTTATAAATAACTCAGAATGGTGAATGTACCTAATACTCCTTCCACAGGGCTGGAGATTATTCCAAAGAGAACTATCTCCTTGTGTTTTTGATACCAGTTTCCATTCATTCATTCATTCATTGGCTACCCTCTTTTTTTTTTACAATTCTGAGCAGGTTGCAAAATAAAACAATATAAAGTATGAATGTATGAAACCTTAAAAAGAAGAATTTGGAAAAACGACACCAAAACACCACACAGTTGCTCTGTCATTTACTGTAATCCAACACTTGGCGGGGGGGCAGGTCTTGAGGGCTTGTTAAGGTCAGGGTGGCGATCATACAAATCTCAGGGGGAATATTATTCCAGAGGGCAGGAGTCGTGACAAAGAAGGGCCACTTCCTGCGTTTCCCCTCCCAGAAGACCACGCCTGTGCCTTTCATAAACAGGCTTTTGGTTTGTTAATCTTTTATTTGTCCTAATGAAATAGAAGTGTGTAGGTACACCAAAGGCATCAATATCTCTTGTCATAATGCTTTCAGCTACCGGAACAATTGCTGTATATTGTTAGTCCTAAATTTGTTACAGCTGGTTTTTTTTTAATGTTCCCACTTTAAGGAGTTTGTAATATATAATTAGACAAAAGGGAAACAACAGAAAGAAGGGCGGGAAATTGAGGTGGAGAATGAAAGAGAAAAATATGGCATGCTGTTTAATATATTTTGTCATTTCTTTTTTTTTCTCCCTCCCCCAGGTTTCATTTCGAAGAAGGGACAAAAAGGTGTCATGAAAATACGTCGGAAAAGAAAGAAACAAGTAGTCAAGCTGGTGGATGGGGCAATTGTTATTGAAAGGATTTGAGCACTATATAATTAAACATTCTGAAAATGTTTCATTTTAAGATCTACTATTCTTATATTACCCACATGATTTAACACTGTACCATACAAGTTATTTATCAAGGTTTTCTATAGCAACCTTTAGGTCTCTCTATTCCCCTGGTGTTTTGCCAGTCAGGAGCCAAACTTTTTACTGTAAAATTAATGCTGTGGGTTTTTTTTTATGATTATTACATAGAATTGCAGAAAAAAAGGCTGTGATCCAGAACTAGCTCACTTTATCTTCTTATTCTGACATTATCCAATCACTCTGACTTGTATACCATACAGAATTTGCTGAATATACAGCCTTGTGACTGAAGATCACTTTGTTTTACTCTCATAGGTAATTGATTTGCCTGAAGACTGATTCCTTGCTATATGGATCCTTAGGCAATAGAATATTATTGGACTCCTTTGGATATAATCGTTGAACCTGTGTGACAATATACAGTTTAGAATAATTATTTCAATTATTAGATACTCTGGAATCTAGAAATTTAGAAAAAGAAGTTTAATCCTCCAGTCTGCAGAGAAATATTATATCAGCTTATTGCAACTGTAATAAACCTTGACAATAAAAAGGATAATGTTTTGTAACAAAAATATACAGGAAGAAATAAATTAGTGCTTTCCAAGTCACAAAATTCACTAAGAAATATGTTAAACAAGACTTCAATTTCATTTAAATTTCTATTTTAAAAGCCAAAGGTTTAAATTAATACAAGCTTTGCAAAAATCTGGATTCAAATCGATCAATGCAATTCAGTGCAAATGGGTGCACAATTATCACCTTCAGAGGCTCCTTAAAGCAGTATTATCAAAACTAAATCACTGACTGGTTTTTTTTATTATAAATATATAGTCAAAATCTACATATAAAGCCCTGCTAATTAGGCATTTCTAAATTTTATTGCAGGTTTTTAAACTAATTGCTTCCTGAGCATTTTTAAATAATGAACCATATTTTTTCTTTTTATATTCTGTAAATTTAGCATATAGTTTTGAATTTATTTTATCCCTTTATAATAATATCTAAGAATTGTCGAACTAAATGCTGTTTTTTTTAAAAAAAATCTGTTATATAAATACATAATGTAGGAGACCATACTATAATTTTATATTTCTTTTTTAGCATGTCAGTGTCTTCAGATGTATATAAACCCTTTTCAGTCTTTCTTATCAAATCACTGTTTTTAATTAAACTTGGGTTGAATTAGGGAAGGAGGGCTCTAATAAATCTTTGCACCCAGAAGGGAATGAAGTAAAGCATGGTTGTGTATGGAAAAGAAGAGAGAGAACCTTTGTCAGTGGAACAACCTGCCTCCAGATGTTGTGAATGCTCCAACACTGGAAGTTTTTAAGAAGAGACTGGACAACCATTTGTCTGAAATGGTATAGGGTTTCTGCCTGAGCAGGGGGTTGGACTAGATGACCTCCAAGGTCCCTTCCATCATCATCAACATCATCATCATCATCATCATCATCATCATCATCATTATTATTATTAACCTGAAAGAAGACTTGAGGATTGGTATTTATGGGGGATTTCTGATGAAATGATCATTTGACTCCAAGAAGGCACAAGAAGATGCTGAGCCATTACAAGAAAGATATTTGAGTCCCGGTGAGATAACAAGCAGAAAACATAAAGAAATTCAAAGCAACAACTTGAAGTAGAGGGCCTTGGACAGGCCTTCAAGATTCTGTTAACATATTGAAACCACATTAAAACTTTATTCCAAAATTTTGTAGTAACTTCTGCGGGTTTATTTATTTCAGTTTAGAGACTGCCCAACTCCTCAATGATTGTGGGCAGACAACTTTAAACAAAACTGAAGTGAACAGAAGGGAATAAATCTAAGGGAATTTAAGTCCTAGGAGAACAACCAGGTTTTGAGTAAATTGCAGAACAATATAAGGGTGGGAAGTTATGATGGTAGAGGAGCATTCCAGAAGACAGGTGTTGCAATCAAGTAACTGTCTCCCAGATCCTGCAAGATGGTGAACTAGGTATGTCTAGTCAAATGAAGAGAAGGACTACAGGTGATACAGTCTACAATAGCAGTCTTCCAGTATTTGAGGGGCTGCCACAGAAAAGGACTTGATCCATTCTCCAAATCACCTGAGGGCAAGACAGAGTATCAAAGATAATCCTAGAAAATCCAAGTTCCTATAATTAAGGAGAAATTTCCTAACAGAACAATTAATCAGTTGAACAATTAACCTCTGGAAGTTGGAGTTAGTCCATCACTGAAGGTTTTCAAGAAGAGACTGGACAGCTATTTGTCCAGAATGCCATAGGGCTTGAGCAGGGGGTTGGACTAGGTACAGGGGTAGGCAACCTTGGCTCTTTTATGACTTGTGGACTTCAACTCCCAGAATTCCTGAGCCAGCATGGCTGGCTCAGGAATTCTGGGAGTTGCAGTCCATGAGTCATAAAAGAGCCAAGGTTGCCTACCCCTGCAACTAGGAGACCTCCAAGCTACCTTCCAATTCTGTTATTCTATGTTCTATGTTGTTCAATAAATGGGACCTGGCATGCATTCGTCCTGATTTATCTGACCAGACAGGCATAAACATTTGGAGATAAGCAGTCCACTATCAGGTCCCATTATCACTTCCTTTAGCAGCAGCAACACACTGCTGACTCCTACTTAATCTGTCATCTACCCAGACACAAGGTTCCTTCTCACAAATACTACTGCTGACTTCAGTAACACCAATGTTGTACATGTGCATCTGGGTTTTTTTTTCTACTTAAGTGCAGAAAAACTATACAGTTTGAAATAGGGTCCATGTCGAGTCTATCAAAAGGTTTTTTGAACCTTGTGCCATAACTGTCTGTCTTTATTGGGAATTTTTAGAAATAAAAGAGGAAAAATAAAAAGGGATTAAAAAAAACCCCAAAGGAATAGAAAAAATAAAGTAAAATGTGAAGTGAATAAATGGAGAATTTATAAATTTTCAATATTTCACTAACTGATTTTAAGTGATTGAATATGTTATACAGTTTTGAAAGCTGGAGATCACAGTTAAAGTCCATTATACAAATATCAACAGTAGTCAGTCCATTATAAATAACAAAATAAGGCTACAACTTATATTAAATTCTGTTCAAGCTACTGAAGATTTCATAGAGTTACAATATTAAAACTGCACATTAGGAGAATCCCAAATTTCAGATATTGTGTTTGCATTCCAACAGGTTTGTGTGTGTGTTTATTTTATTTTCAGTATTGTATCCTGAAGACATATAATTTCCTTTTCTAGCCTAATTTTGAAAAATGGGCTATTCAGGCCATTAATCTCAGATGAAAACATTTTAATTTGATCCATAGTTTTCATATTAATAATGAAATAGCAGCTGTCTGGTCCCATTTTGGGATTCTATCTGACCTAGGTCTTCATTCCCTTGGTCTGAAACAGCCAATGACTTGAACATTCATTTGGCATAATTAGTGGGATACATAAAAACTTTGCCATCATCCGTAAGGACTACTAAATGGAATAGAATATCCCATATACATCAAAATCTAATATTTTTGTAGAAAAAAAATTAGAAATCTCAGGTTTCTCCTCTTTGTATGTATTTCTACATTTAGTAGAATCATAGTGAGTGCATCTCAAAGGGACTATCACTCTTTTTTAAATTCCAGTATTGCTTCTTTTGTCTTAATATGCTTGAATTGGACAAGTATATGCTGTAGCAATTTTCTCTTTCATAGTACTTATGGATTTTTTCTGCATATCTTTTGCATTTCCAAAGTTTCATCTATATCCACACCAAGATAAATTTTAAGTAAAGAAATTTCCATTTCTCTTTCTAAAACCTCTTGCTAATGTCCTCGTCTATACTTGTGAACTTTGTATTATTTTATGTATTTCTATTTTAGCTATTTTTAGTTTAGTTTCCAATTTGTTTAACTCTGGTTCTCTAATGAGAACTAATGAGACTCCTGATATCTTGTCTGCAATTTCTTTATCTTGCTGTTCTAATTTAGTGATTAATTTGTCTTATTTTTTCATTAATTCCAGTCTCAAAAGAGTTCAATTCCAAATCTTGGCTTTTTTCCCCCCAATTAGTTTAGTGATATTATTTACCATTGCATGAAAGTAACATGTAAAGAGAACTTTAGTTTGTGAGAAGGAAGCAGAGATATCAAGCTAGCCTTTTTCCAATTTCATATCCTTTTTAATATGTCTTCTCTTACTCAGTTTTGATAGATAACAAGTGATTTTATGTTTCCGTTCATTAAACATATCCATACAGGGTGGGGTCATTGGGTTGTGTCCAATTTTATAACCTTTTTTGCCATAGTTGTTGAGCAAATCACTGCAGTTATTAAATGAATCATATGGCTGTTAAGCCAATCTGGCTTCCCCTGCTGCAGGAGTCTTCAAACTTGGCCCTTTTATGACTTGTGGACTTCAACTCCCAGAGTTCCTCAGCCAGGCACACTGGCTGAGGAATTCTTGGAGTTGAAGTCCACAAGTCATAAAAAGGCCAATTTGAAGACCCCTGCCCTATTGACTTGCTTTTTGGGAAAGTCCTAAATGGCATGTAAATACATAACTGGTTTCCAAGTGCCAGATTTTGATCACATGACCATGGGGATGCTGTGACAGTAGTAAGTCTGAGAACTGCTCATAAGTTACATTTTTCAAGCACCTTCATAATTCAAATAGTCATTAAACAAATTGTCCAAAGTCAAGGATTACCTGTATACGTATATCTGCCCTTCTGATCTAGTGACTTTAAGTGGCTCACAATAAAAATATAAAAACAGCATAACACATTTTTTTTAAAAAATGTAATGTAATTAAGGAACAACCATAAACGCATATATACTGCACCCCATTAACAAGCTGGTTCCAATGAAAAACCAGATCTTCTTGGTTCCAGAAGGCTAACAGGATTGGGACCGGCTGGATGTCTAGTGGATATCATTCTGTCTGCAAATAGCATGAATTGGAAATTATACTGTCTAGGTCCCACTAGATGGTGCTATT